GTTCGGGTACTTACCGCACAGTTGATCGGACGACCAACTTTACTTGCAATTTTCTCAGAAACCAAAGCCCATTCACGCAAACCCTTTTATCGTGTTAGTACACGCAACCCACCCTTTCGAATGGAATATGGCTCATCTCATTTGGTAGTTTACAGTTCGTGCCATCTCTTTGTGAGACCCAACAGTTGTAACAACCGTTCGTTTTAACGCTCGGACTAGCTCGTCGGAGCCAGGGCTAAAACGCGGTTCGTGCGGAGGGAAAGGCGCGGGATCGGAGAAATCGGTGACTCGAGATTTAGTGGTAGTAATTTATGTTTATTTCGTATCAACGATTATCAGGCACCCCCCTGGGATGGAGGCCCTGTTACATCAGATTATTGAACGCGCGGACGGACATGTATTTTCAGTTATTTACACGACGCGTATCTATTCTGCGGGGCCTTGGCCCTGTACTTGCGTCGGCGGGGCCGGTCGGACGGGCGGCACGCGGGTGTCGACACGGGCTCGGAGCGGGTGTTTCGTACGCCGGCCGTGTCCCGGACACGGTAGCGCAATCGCTACCTTGCCGTCGTGGCGCAGGTACGAAGGTCGGGAGTCGAACCTCTGCGTGCCCGGTGTCCAGATGGCTAGACTCGAGGTCACGAAAACATGACCCCGATGTTGCCGAGCGGTTTGATATAGGATAGGGTTCTTACCGGAGGTCCGTGATGTCACGGAAGAGGCAGCGCAATCACGACCTCTGTTTCCTTCGGGTAAGTGGCGGAGCTCAGTCGAATGATGTGGCTCGCTCGCTGGGCTTAGCGGAAAAAAGGTGCTTTGCCTTCTCGTCCCCGGCCTTTTATATCTACGGCGCGGTGCAGGTAGGGTGTTATAGCTATTGGCCCCACTCCGCCGCGGCGGCCGGGGCGCCTCGTCTTGGGTGCGCGCGTACCGGGGTGGCAAGGGCACGCGCGCACCGTTCAATTTGCAACCTCGTGCTCGCTGGTAACCGATCGCTTACATAACGTTTTGAAAGGTGCGGGCGCACTGCGCCTGTCATCGCCCCGCAGGTATTTGGCGGGACGGCATCCGGCTGATGTTTTTGCCAGACATCCAGCCACGGCCGGGTAGCGCAATGACGATGCCTATTTCAGACTCGCATCGTTATACAGTAATAGTTACGGAATCGCACATAAGTGAAATCTACGAATTTAGACTAAAAGTAGAGAATGAGCGAAAATTCAGCTAGAGATTATTATAACGCGCGTTATCAAACATGTTTTATCATTGATCGCATCCATGTTTCGATATTTAACACTATTATGAGAATAGGTATGAATATAGTATATCGCTTATATAAATTTTTTAATTAATTCACGCAAAATTTTTAAAATTGTGTTAGAAAAAATCTTGCTTTTTGAAGTTATATCTCTAAATCAGGCAAAAGCTGGGAGTTTCATATTAGGGCATATCCTATTGCTTCCCAATCAGGCCAAAATCGGGAATTCCGTATTACGGCAAACCTACTCTTTCCCGATCAGGCGTTAGTCATGCATCTGGCATTCCCGATCTAATTTCTGCTCGGATAAGATATCGAATAGTAAAAACAGCAAAAATTGCGTTCAGAGTAAGTGCCGGATTTTGCAAGAGATGGCGTTTTAATAAGTTAGATAAGGACAATGTACGTGTTTGAGTGAGACAGAAGAAATTGTAAAAAGTTCATTTAGAGACACTACTAAAATTGAACAGACTGTTTTATCGACCTCGCGCAAATTTTTCCGACCTTCCAGCATCGCCTAACTGATTTTTTTCGGAGACGCATTGATACAAATATGGAGGTGTGACAAATCGCAAAATTTTTTTCAAACTCTGCAAAGTTCCATAGCGAGAAATAAAAATCGCACACAAACGCGGTGTACAGCTTTCGAAAGAATGAATCTTTTCCTTTAATTTGTTTTTTTTTGTTGAGCGTTGTACGATTTTTTTCACCGAGTTATTTAATATTAAAGCAAAAATGACCTTTTGTAACGGTTTCAACGGACAGGGATTCGGTAAAGAAGATGCGCAACTCTGGTTGATAACTTTAATTCGGTCACTCACATATATCGAGATTTATTACAATTATCCGCGTACGCTATCAATCGCGGAACAGAGCTACTAAATTGAGCGCGACGTGCGATATATGAGAAGAGCGGTCGGCGAGTGACACCATTATTATCGCCGCGGAACTCTACACTTTATATCTATCTCGTGAAGACATTCGACAGATAGATTGTCGAATACTTAACGAGAAA